AAATAAATGACTGGATATGTTCAGATTATGAATGTTAAAAGATGATCCTTTCAGCTGTTCGGACAATGAGACAAGTTGTGTTTGTTAAGAAGTTCTGTTCTTATTAACTCACTTTGCAATGTCCGATTGTCCAACATAATACGTACGTCAGAAATGACTGGACTAGTGTGGTCACTATGAAAGAAATGACTGGATTACTTTGGCTACTATGAAATAAATGACTGGATATGTGTGGTCACTTAGAAATAAACTCATATCGATGTTGATTCTGCTGAGGTCAACAATAATGAAAATAATTAAAGAAGAGATGTGAGAAGTGGTGTAACAAAGTGGTCAGCATTAGGAGAATGCATGCATGCATGTGACCGATATTTAGTGAATTTATTTCAATATTTGATATAAGAATAGTAAATTCGACTCAAATTTGAATTGAAGCATTTAGCACGAAGCTTATAAGCGGACCTGCACCTGCAGCAGTACTGGCTGCAGTAGCAGTAACCTTATTGAACATGCCAGTTGCATCATCAACCGACTTACTAACGTCACAAAATTCGTCCTCGACCGATTGCTCGTTTAGCTTTGACAATTGTATGTCCGGGGTATATTCCAAATTAGAAAAGAGACTCACTTCACGTTTATATATGATGTGGTGTTGTTTGACCTAAAATGATTCACCGCAATAATTTAACCTCAAGACAAAGAAACAAGAATAATTGATAGCTCATTTGCGCCTGAAATGTGACCTCAACATACAGACTATAAAAGTTACAAAACTTGAATAAAATGTCACCAGGATAGTCGCATATTGACGTGGATATTGTCGCATACCTGATGTATATTTCGAAGTCGTTGCGGAACTGTTTGTAGCAAGAGAAAGTGATCATCCATGATAATGGTGCCTGTCAAATAATCACAATAGGATATTGCTGCTGAAACGTTATCGTGTGACAGCACTTTCCCATAGAAGTGACAATCTGCTTTCAGGTGTGTCGGTAATCCTCGACTTCTCGAACTTTTTTTACCATCCCGCACCACTGAGATCTAAAATCATATTCAGTGAAGCCAGGATTTTTTATTTAAGAAAACTTTCATCTTTTCATCATGGAGTTAATTAAATTCTATTTAATTAAAAGTACACATATGAAGAATTATCGACAGAAGTGTTCAGACGAGACGATAATTGTTTGGTTTAATCTTTCATGTTGTTGAGGTGCTTTTTGATGGATGACAAGATAATTACTATTGATTTGAATTCTGGATCTTATTCAAATTAACTTTTCAAAGCTGTTCTCTTATTTTATTTCATTTCACATTCATTCTTGCTTTCATATTTTTCTCTTTCTTTATCAAAAATTTAAATCTTTGATCTTCTCTCTTCACAGAGAGATTTTTAGAAATTTCATTTTTAAAATTAAAAATTTAAAAGAAAGAAATATTTTGATAGACAAAATAAATTCCTGATTTATTCAATTCATAACCAATCTATCAATCTATGTCTTTCATACCAACATTTTATTGCTATCTTCAAATAGTCTTAATCTCTTACTTATACTTACGCATCAATCTCAGATTGTATAGTAAGATGGATCGCTTACGATATAATTCATATCGATATATAACCATTCAAACTTATTTTACTTTTAATCGAAAAAGATGAAATCAAAATGTCGTCCTGTTTTAATAAGAAATTCCTCTTCCTTCATTAGCACCTTTTGACTTTCATGGTGACATCTCTTAGATTGGCAGAATTCAACAAGTGCTACTATAAGTACCCTAAGTAGATATTTGTAAATTCCAACTACTTCGGCGATAAAAAAAATTCCTCAGTAAGGGCAAGAGAGAATAAATTGCAAGCTATTTAAGATATGTTGCTATGGAGCGCAAAATTCTACCATCCGGTGGTTATGTCATGAATTTAATTGACGAAGATTTGCACTAAACTACAAAGACACTTGTCAAAACAATTACACATCCAAAGAGAACTTCAAAGATGTTTTCAAATGTTTACTATATCGATAACGAAAACAAGCATCACAATGTGTCACCATTATGGTTATTTTTATTTTGATCTAATGACAAATCGTAAAACATCTTTGCAAATTTTATAAAAAAGAAATATATATATATATATAATTTTGTATTTTTTCTTTTCAAAACAATTACTTCTAGCTCTTTATTTTATAATTTAAAGAATAAAAAAGAAGGTGAAAGATGAAAAGGGAGGAAGTTAAGCTTCTAAGCTTATACTTTTTAAAACAACTTACCAAATGAGGGCTGAGTAGTTTGAGGTTAGGCTTGAGATTAACAAGAAATTCCTGATCCCAAGCATGAAATAATAAATGGATTGTACCATCAGTGAGTTGCTTTCTGTTGACATCAATCAACTCATATTCCGGTACATCTTTATGATGAGATACAGCAAAAATTTGTTGCAATTCTCGTTTTGTTAGACGATGATGAAAATTCTGCAAATAATGTCATCCAATAGAAAGAAGTTTGTATGATTTTGTCAAATAAAATTGAAAATGAATACTCTTTTTATGATAATGCTTTAATTTTAATCAATAAATTTTTAAGAATTTATTAGAATTAATTCATTCTTAAAATTTTCCTTTCTTCGATGACCGATTGAAATTAAATTAAACTTTTCAATGAATTCAAGTATTAAGTATTAAAACTAAACTTCGTAATTTC